GCTGCGCGTTGGTCGACGCTCCCGCTGTACTGTCTTCGTGCCTACTTTGCCGTATCCTCGTAATAACCTCATATTATGTACTGCTATTAACTCTCAGTAAATATCATTACTTGTGTATGTGATTTATTGTGGTAGCCTATGTTTATATTGTCATTGTGTGTGTGTTTCAATCTCTAGGTGCTTGGGGAAGACCACCCTCATGCGGTAGAAGCTCATCAAATACTACAACGTCCTAAAGTTCAAAATTATACACGATGACAACAATATGGCAACAATATTGAAAACTTGGACGAGTGCGTCAAATCATCGTCAGCATTTCCAACCAATCCCCCACAATGTGATACAGTTTGTAGTTTAGTGCCATATATGACGTAAGAGAATGCATCGCTTGGATGAACGTGCCGACACTTTGAGTGCTGTCTGTTATGTCATGTACATATATGACAATTGCTAAATTCTAAAAAAAAAAGACATTATATTCCCTTCCATAAAGCCGTCAACATTAATGGAAATATTAGTGTTGAAATTGATATGATTACATTACTATAACTAGAATATTATCATGTCACAAATAGTAGATAAATGCTACTAATTATGTTTAATAAATTATAATGGGAGAAATATGTCGTCTCATATTGTATTTGCATCTATTCTAACAACATTTTTGGGGAATACGAATAAGTGTACATCGTGCTATATGCTATTATCATACTTAATATAATTTTCTGAGAATATTTATATTTTCTTAATTGTAAACAGGTTTATAAATAAATTATTTTTTAAGAATTATTTTTATTGTCATGTATGTTATTCCTAAAAGCATGGATGAAATTGTTACCAACTCCACTTAATCGGATATAGACTTGGCAACATTCAGTTTGGATTCCCAGAATCATGAATGTAATCTCTATCAACGAAAACACACATTTTTTCTAGATCATATATAATTTGATTCGAAAAAATGTATGTGAAAATTACAATATACCACTTCAGCCACCACAGACCACTAACTATGTTAAATAATTTTATTCAATTTAGGAATATAATTAAAATATATATTAATTAAGAAGGAGGAAACAAAACACATGTCAAAAAGTTGAAGCATTGATTGTGAGTTAAATTATAAATATCGATAAATATACCCATTTTCAATAAGATTGTTACAAATGTTTTAGTGTTACCGGGTAGTATCTGAGTGTTTACGAAAAGCAAACTCCCTGGAGTGTTTAATTGCTTAATGCCGATGTTTTGTTTTTTTACCATTATCTTCAGTTCTTTGGTGTCACGAAGATTCTATGTTTCTAAAAAAATATTAGCATAAATATCATGTGAATATAATATAGGATACAAGTCATATTTCTTTCTGCAAGCAACAGTATATACACGCAATTACAGTAATTCAAATCACTAAACCAATTATTTATATTAATAATTTTTCTTAGTCCATTGTTATTTTTTAAAATGTCTCCAACTTGCCTCGCAATGTGATGAACAACAATGAGGAACTAAACTGTTAAAATAAGGACAATGTATTGGTAGAAACAAATGTGAATGTCATGGGTCTGTTATTATTGTAATCTGTAATGACTTTGTTGTATTAATAAAGGTGGGTGGATAGATATATTCCATGCGTTACGACATTCAAAGATGAATGGTCTCATAGGTAAATAACGTCAATGCTATGCATATTATTTTATAACAAAGGCTTCAAAAATAATTTGACTCTATTCTCATTAAGAGTTGGCTACTCGTCTCCACATAGCAGCCAAGTATTACGTTCCACATCACAACCAGGCGTTGGTTTTTACGTAGACATCAACAAATAAAATTTGCAAGAGATGCTTGTATTTCAACATCCAAGACTTAAATTTGTTTTGAGTCGTTCACTCATTAGCCATGGTTAATATTATGTTGTTACATTATTGTCTATGAGAAGTTTAATTGTTGGCGATCCGCTCCGCTAGGATTGCCCTTATAATCACTTTTGTCGTTTTGTGTGTCTGTGTGTGTACATTTCCAGTGTTTTCACGTATGATTTCTTCTGTGATTTTTTTGGCTTGGCCGATTTCTTTCAAACTTGGCAGGTAGGTCACACCTTCACCCTAGTTATAAGGAAAAATCTGAAAAAAATTGTTGGCCCACCGTTGCCATAGCAACAGCCAAAAAACTGATTTTTGGATAGCTTCGCGCCAAATGTATCTCCTCCTACAAATTTGGGATAAAACACTTCAAACATAGCTCATTCTACTCAGCTTGAGTGTGGGCACAAAGTTACTATTTGAATTTTTGATATCTGTTTTCATTATCGAGAAATTTGACCCCAAAGTTGGGGTAACTTTTCACCAGCAACGGCTCGGCTGGTTTTGTTCATACTTCACAGGTAGGTCGTGCCGTCACTAATTGGAAAACAATCCTGGCCCACCACTGTCATTGCAACATCCAAAAACTGATTTTTGAATACTTTCGCCCCAAATGTATTACCTCCTACCAGTTTTGTACACAGTCAGCTGGCATCGGTGTCGCTGGGTGTATATGATAAAGGGAAGTTGTGCAACCAAATTTGCCGAGTTCGCAGTTTTTCGCCAATAAAAAAATAACTAAGGCAACAACTCACGGTTTTTCAGCATTTTTGTAATAAAGACATTATTCTCCATCAATAATCCGCCCAAAACAGGAACATTTCTACTAATTCTTGTGTTTTTTCGACGTTTTTCGAAAAACCTGCGATTAGGCTGCGAAAGTAGAACATTCCGGAGGGGGCGAAACGGAAGAGCCAAATTTAACATGTAAAAATAGAACGCGTATTTTGACCTCTATGCGTCCATGCCTTGCGATGCTCTTCCGTTTCACCAGTTGCATTTTTTGGACTAAAATTTGGGCAGTACTGTCAGTCACGAAAATTGATGAATAATTTAATACACATAAAATATGAATCACGGGCTAATTCACTGGTCACCGAACACTCCACTGCTAAACAATCTGTGGCAAGATAGTAGCGTACTGTATATTTGACCCAGATTTGACAAGCGTGGTTCAGTTTTTTGCGCGTGTCCGTAATAACGCGCACAAAGGATTGTGGGACAGAGTCCTTTATTTGCTGGCCTTCTTGACTTTTGACTGCAGTTCTTTTTTTATATTTTAGAGTAAATGCTTCTGATATGCACTTAGGTTGCTTAATATCCGTCTGAAATTCTGGACTGTGGTCATATTTTTCGATTAGGAGTCGTATATTTAAATAACTCACCGTGACTAGTGTTTTGCATTATGAAGTATATTGTTATGAAGGTCTACACAATGCAGTTTAGGTAAATATTTACCATTTCGTTTTACAGCATTTACAGGAAACGCTTCATTCTAGAAAATGCTATCGCAAAAC